GTGGCTGTCACCCCGCCTATGAACTGTGGCTGCTTGAAGTTAAATCCCAGCCCGACATGCTCCCCCACTATGATAAAACGAGCTGCGTCGAATGGGGCCTGGAAAAGACGGTGAGTGCGCACTAGCCGTCCGCTCCAACGTGCCCAAAGAAGCGGGCCATTGATCTCATTTGCTGTTCCTTAGAATCCGCATTGACCATGTCGATCAGTACGTCGGGCCGGAATTAATTCATGAACCGTCTTCACTGGCTGCACTGATACCAGCCTCGATAATGCTTTGAGCCCGATCAGCCGTTGACGGATTGCGTCATTATCTCGAGGCGAAGATTTCCATAGGCAGTGTTCGGTGTCAAATCTGATGGCATATAAATAGTATCGAGATCCGTGGCTCATGGTGGCTGAACCACGTTGGTTTCTGAGCTCATCTTGAAGTTCAGCATTACCGTTTACACCATGGTGAGGAACATCAGTCTCCTCAGCCTCGATGGCGGGGGTGTCCGCGGATTATCCTCCCTTTACATCCTGAAGCATATCATGGAATCTATCGATCCTGACAATACACCAAAGCCATGCGAATACTTTGATCTGATAGGAGGGTCGGGGTCTGGCGGGTAGGTATTCTATAATGCACAAATTGTCCCGATCGGGGTTTCATTACTAATGCTCCATATCATAGGTTGATAGCCATTATGCTTGGTCGATTGGAAATGGACATTGACCAGTGCATCAACGCATACAAAAGACTGTCAAACCACGTATTTGCTCGAAAGCGACTACTGCCAGTGGGAGGCAACTTGCGCCGACAATCGAAATATGACGGTCGCAGGATCGAAACTGCCATGAAGGCGATTCTTCATGAGCTTGGCTATGAAGATGACATACTTCTTAGAGAGCCAGCATCTTCCTGCAAAGTGTGAGTCTTTCTCAATGATAGGAAAATCTGCAATCTAATCGGCACAGTTACGTTTGCGTGACCGATGACGGTTCAAAACGGAATCTAGCACCCTTGACAAGCTATCCGAGCAAATACTGCTCCAACGAGCTGTACAAGACCGCCAAAGTATGGCAGGCTGGCAGAGCCTGCTTCTCCACAGAGCAGCTCTTCGATCCCGTCCCTATCGGACCAAGCGGACGGCGATTCTACAACAGCAACACAGACGCTAACAATCCGGTGCGAGAAGTCTGGATAGAGGCGAGAGGAATATGGCCATCCGGCTCATTGGATACCCAAATCCGATGCATGGTGTCCATCGGTACCGGTGTTCCTTCAATCAAGAGATCAAGCAAAGCGATGTTCGGCTTACTGAAGTCATCGCGCACTGATTCCATCGACACCGAGGTGGACATGAACAAGTTCCTCCGAGAGCATACGGAACTGGATGACGAGAATCGTCTATTCCGATTTGATGTACCCAACGGATTAGCGGATATTGCTCTCGATGGCATTGATGAAATCGACACGATCGTGGATGCTACCGAGGAATACCTCGCCAAGGAGCCGGTCTACAAGCAGATACAGAAATGCGGGCGAGCTCTCAGTGCAGGCCCTTAAGCCATTGTGATGTTTTCCTTGGTATAGACTTGGGTGGCAGACTGCTGGAGTTGGATGCGAACGTCTTATATCTGTCTTTTAATAATATCGATACCAATGTGATTATTTTCTTCCATTTATCGCACGCCATGCCTGAATGAACAACAAACCCATCCACCTCGAGAACCAAGAACAAGAATAACCTTCCCGAACCTTATTCTCTACCAAATAGACAACAAATCCTCTTTATCTCTCCAACCACTCCACCCAAAAGTTGAACGATGACGAAGTATCTGTTCCCGGAAACATGACGTCAGGAAATCTCACCTCACCTACAAAGCCAGAATAGCCCTCCCAACCTCCTCTTAACTAACCCCAAATCTTCACTATCTCACCAGCCTACCATACCATACCACATAACAGAACAGAACAGAACAGAAAAGCCTCACCAAAATGGTCAAATCCAAAGACACCGTCATCGAGTACTTTCCCCCTTCCCAAAACAACCCCTTCCACCTAAACCCCATTTTAATAATGCTGACAGCGAATTCAACTCCCTCGTCAATATGACGCCCAACGAACTCCGCGACTGGCTAAAAGGCACCCAATCGCAGTCCTCAGGCTGGACGAACGAGTCGTCCTCATCGGGGGAGACGATTGGACATGAAAGGCATGCCTCCACCCCTTCTTCACAACTACCTGAATCACATCACGAAGACTCCTATTTCCTTGTTTAGTTTGCTTAAGCTAACGATATGTTAATAACTTTTGGGTTTGACAGCGGCCGCAAAATCGTCTCCATCCTGGAACACAACCCGTCCAAAGACCCCTCGGGATACTCGGACGAAGACGTCGATCATATGCGCAAGGTAGTGTCGTACTGTAAACGGCATTTGGCGCAGGAGGAGACGGCGAAGCAGAATACGGAGAGTAAGAGTTACAAGTCGTTGAAGAATTGGGGGCATGATCCGTTGAAGGGATAATTCTATCTCTTTGTTTTGTTTCTTTGAAAGGGTAGGGGGTTTGGAGTTAGTGGCGGCTGTGTGTGTGTGTGTGTGTGTGTGTGTGTGTGTGTGATTGAGACTATGGTTGCGTTGGCTGTTGGGGAGTATCGTGGTTGTATGATACATTTTACTCGAGAGATCTATTGTGTTCAGACCATTTTCTGTGGTATGAATGTTTCTGTGACTAAATGGGAGGGTAGAGAAAATGGTTGTATGTAACGATACTTTTACTATCGCTTTGGATGGTATTCATTTGATAGTCCCATGATTATGGTGGTGAACGTTTCATTTACTATACACTATCTATACGTACTACAGTAACAATAGACACCATTTTCTATTTCTTCTTCTTGTATTATAGCTACATACCTACCTAACGAGCTCATCTTAGCTTCACCCACCCCCCAAGGGTTACCCCCCAAGAGGACAAGCTACTAGACTCCAGCACCACGATGAGGTGTGAGCTCTAATCGCTGGAGGACCTGGCCCGCACAACCAGGCGCTCAAACGCCATGTATTTCTACATGGGCTGAGACTTTTTTGTTTTCGGCGCTGTTACAGCGCTGGCTCAAAACAACTTGAACCTGACCAGCGGACTATGCCAGCTAGTCAAGTGTGCGGCTTTTTCTATATACTTACATTCCCTGTCATCTCATGATGAGAGAAGGTACTCGCTCAACACCGGGTGGAGGTATAGTGGGCTCGACGGGTGTGTGTCGAGCCAACTACCTATACCTGGACGGCATTGTGCACCGTCACGCACCCCCGGTGGACTCCCTTATGGCCCGTAGGGGGGCAGGAGCAAAAGTCTGTTTTTGTATACCGAGGCGCGGCAGGGTGAGACGGACGTTTGCGGGAACGTGGCACGCTGCGCGGCTAGCTGCTGTAGCAGCCCCCGGTGGGGTAGGGTGGGGAGTATGAGGGGGAGGGAGGGAGGTAGGTAGGTAGGGCAGAGGCAGGCAGAGAGAGGCAGGCAGGCAGAGAGAGAGGCAGGCAGGCAGAGAGAGAGGCAGGCAGGCAGAGAGAGAGGCAGGCAGGTAGGTCAGGTAGGTCAGGTAGGTCAGGTAGGTCAGGTAGGTCAGGTCGCCAAGGTAGGTTGATGAGGTGAGGCAGGTTGATGTAGGAGAGGCAGGTATTGCTCACAAGCCCCCAGGGCTTGACATGGCCTGGGTCGACTGGGGCAGGAGAACTTACCTGATATATTAGTATTGTATATTGAGGCAGGAGTGGCAGGTGAGGTAGGCAAGGTGAGGTAGATGAGGTAGGTGAGGTAGATGAGGCAGGGCAAACAGGACAGGACAGGAGAGGTTGGAGCAGGCAGGCAGGTAAGGTAGGTAAGGTGAGGTGAGGCAGGACAAGGCAGGGAAGGTTAAGATGGGTAGGTAGGTAGGTAGGTATGAAAGGGAGGGCAGGACAGGACAGGATAGGGTAGGTTGAGGTAGTCAAGGTAGATGAGGTAGGAGGTGAGGCAGGGCAGGGCAGGGCAGGTTGAGATGGGTAGGTGGGTAGGTAGGTAGGTAGGTAGGTGGGTGGGTGGGGAAGGAGGGACAGGGCAGGGCAGGGCAGGATAGGACAGGACAGGGCAGGATAGGGCAGGTTGAGGCAGACAGGTGAGGTAGGTTGAGACAGGGGCAGACAGGAAAGGTGAGGGGAGGTAGATGAGGTGAAGTAGGCAGGTCGGTAGATAGGTAGGGCAAGGCAAGGCAAGGCAGGTAGGCAAGGTGTGGTGAGGTAGGTGAGGGAGGGCAGGACAAGACAGGCAGATGAGGTAAGGTGAGGTAGGTGAGGGAGGGCAGGGCAGGGTAGGACAGGGTAGGGCAGGATGAGGAAGGGCAGGTGGTGGCAGGTGAGGTAGACGAGGTAGATGAGGTAGGTTGAGGCAGGTGTGGTAGGATGTGGTTCACAAGCCCCCAGGGCTTGACATGGCTTGGGTCGACTGGGGGCAGGGCGACTTACCTGATAGCTCAGTTGCTGTAGACAATGAGCCAGCAGTCGTAGACGAAGATAGAGAAGGATGAAGGTGAGAAAGAAGATAGAAGAGATAGAAAGATAGAAGTAGGAATGGAAACGGTAGAATCAGACATGAGGAGTAGGAAAGAGAGCAGAATAGTATGAAAGGTAGGTGAATGTATGGTAGACTGGGGAGTTGTAGGAGGAGAAGTCTGGGGAAGAAAGTCCGGGGGGTCAAGGGGCAATTTATAGTCGTTGGGTGGTCACGCTTATTGACTTAATGTTTATCCTTAGACATGTTATGTTGACTTCATATTGATCCTTAGACTTGAGACGTGACTTAAAAGTCGAGTCACAAAGGAGTCACGATGTTATTAATAGATCCACTACGTGGTGAGGTGTAGCAGATGTCATCAAAAAGGGAGGCATCTAGCATCAGTGAGTCTAGACATACGTCAATATGCGGCACCAATTTAGAACGAACAGAGCAGGTTCTTCAAAGTCTCATGTATTGTGCTTCAATCAAAATAGATACATCAAATACACAGCATCACTTCCTCAACCAGTTCTTTCCATAAGGCGGGAGCTTCTCTCTCGCTCCAAACATCCAGACTGAAATACCAAGAACTGCTAGAGTGGCCGCAGCACTCAAAACTTTGCTGCGAGAAGTTGTGTCGTTCCCTTCTCGGTCAAAAGGTGCCTTGACAGGCGGTGATAGCTTCCTTATATTTTTCTCAGAGTAAGGAGGGTATCTCGCACCCATCGCCCCCTCCATCCACGTTGGAATAGCATTCGTATATGTGCGAAGATGCGAGAAAGCAAGTATTCCGTACTTTCCATGGTAGCAACCAGTACCAGAGTTCCCCACACCACCAAAGGGCGCATCAAGAGCAGCGGCATGGAGGAGACAGTCATTAAACGTCACACCACCAGAAGAAGTCTCATCTTGAATGCGTTTCTTTTCAGACTCGATGTTGGTGAAGGCGTAAAGAGCTAATGGGTGCTCAATACTGCGAGTGAAAGAGATAGCGGTATCAAGGTCCGCGTCAATGATGGGCAGGATGGGGCCAAAGAGCTCTTCAGACAGAAGAGGATCGTCGGGACTAACGCCCACAACAATGGTAGGTCCGAAGTATCGATTTTGACGGTCGCGAATGCCGCCGTAAATGACCTTACCGGAGGTTCTATCGAGAAGAGACTCGAGACGATCGAAATTTCGCTCGTTGATGATGCGACTGTAGTAGTCTGGCTTGTTATCTCGACCGCCAGTGAACTCGTCAAAGTAATGGATCAGTCTCGTCAAAAAAGCTTCACGTATGCTAGGGTCAATGAGGACGTGATTCACGTTGACGCAGATCTGGAGTCCACATTAGGGCCGATGAACTGAGTCATGTTAATTTATAAGAAAAGTCATACCTGTCCAGCATTCGAAAACTTAGCCCAAGCAATGTGTTTTGCCGCGAGATCGATATTCGCAGATGGGGCAACAATTGCAGGCCCTTGACCCCCCAGTTCCAAAGTGACGGGGGTCAAATGTTTGGCAGCAGCAGCATAGATGATCTTGGCAACATTTGCAGAGCCAGTGTAGAAGATGTGATCGAAGCGACTTTCAAGAATATGCTTCATTTCCGACGGCCCTGCACTGACGCAAGTAATAGCGTCGCGATCCATGTACATGGGGACGATCTCCATCAGGAGATCCTGGGAGGCTTGTGCAACGTCGGACGGCTTCAGGACCACCGCACAGCCAGCGGCAATAGCAGCGACCAAGGGTTGTAAGGTCAGCATGAAAGGGAAGTTCCAAGCGCCAATAATCAATGACACGCCCAATGGCTCTTGACGGACTACAGTTCCGCCCAAAAAGTTGATGGGATCCCATCTTGTGGGCTTCTCATCCATTGTCCACTCGTCAAGCTTGTCAAGGGTACGCAGAATGTCATTTTGAAGGCCCGTAATTTCCCCCAGCATAGCCTCCAGAGGATGCTTGTTCAAGTCGGCACGAAGGGCGTCAAGGATGCGATCCTTGTTGTCCTCGACCATCCACCAGGCTCTCTTAAGCTGATGGCGTCTCCAATCTTTGCTCTTGGTGCGACCCGAGGCGAAAGCGGCTCGGACGCTGGCATATGCCTATCCCTTGTTAGCCAGAATGGATATTGGCACGGTCGCAAACGGATGGAATCAGCTTGCCTGGTCAAACTCCACCTCGGTGGTAAAAGCCATGATACTGTTATTGTGATGGTTGTTGATACTAAGTAGAGAATACAGAAGCTGCGTTTGAGGTGTGGCTTCTTCTATCCATGGGAAAGCTCGAAAGGTGGAGCAGCGATCGCTCCGATCGGGAACCAGCAAGGATGAAAATGGAATTGATTGCCGCTAACCCGTGACACCCCCGCTTATACTAAAAAGCAAAAATGCAATTCACTCTTCTTTTAACTCGAATCACATGCTACTATTGAAGAAAGAATGATTTGAGATGGTTGAATACTAATCTATGCCTTATTAATATATACTCGAGCCTTCTCAGCATCCTCTGTCTCACCCTCCATCTCGGTGACCTTGGCTCCGATACTTCCGGTGCGGTCGGATTCCCAGTCTGCGCTCATCCGTTAGCTCGCTTGGAACATTCACGAAGTTGGGGCAAATACATACCAGCAAACTTGCGCGCAGGGATGCGCCGCTGCCACATATCCTCCAGCTCCTCCAGTGAGCGTCCGGTGAGCTCGGGGAGGAAGAAGTATCCGCAAGCCACCCCCACGGCTGCAAGGGAGCCATAGATAAAGCCAACCTTGGACTGGAGATCGGCATACGGGGCATCGAGTAGGTAGGGAAGAGAGTAGGAGACTGCAAAGTCGCAAACAATCCGGATAAGCCAGGCAACAACCGAGGTCTTATCACGTAGTCGCAGATGGGGAGTTTCTGCGCCCGTAATGACAGAACTATGAGTGTAAGTCGGTGGGTCAGCACATGCCTTATGAACGAAATTTGAGGCTACTCGCGGTAAGGGGGGGGGCACATACATAGACCCGAAAGACATGATGTAAAACAGCCCGTACATCATGAGCACTCCACAAACTCCACGCTTTTTGCCATCGGTTATGGTGCCTGTCCCTAGCCCACCACAGATCATGAGTAGGGCGGTGGTCATGGTACCGCCGATTAGATAAATGGGCCGTCTTCCAGTCGTGTCAACTAAGGAGAAGGTAACTAGAGGGCCCACGGTCGAGATGCCTCGGGATCCTAGCGTGAAGGCGAACGGGTTCATGACTTTTAGGGATTTGACGAACAGACTGCCATACTGACTGACGAAGGATTGTCCAGTCAATTGATTGAAAGCCGCAGTCATGACTGCAATCATTGTCCGTCTCTGAAAGATGTCAGTACCACTCGCACGTACGTCAGGGCATGTACGGGAAGGAGACTTACCCGGTTGGTTCCCTGGAGAAGTTCAGCCCAGGAGCCTTTTGTTTGCGCGTTTGCCTCGACAGCTGCTTGCAAAAACGCCACTTCACCAGCAACATCTATATCCTTCCCCTTGTTAAGGTATTCGAGCTGTCTCGTCGCCGCCTGAATCTTGTTCTTCCGGACAAGCCACCGAGGGCTCTCTGGGACAAGCCAACTGCAAAGCAAGATGAAGCAGGGGAACGTCCACATCACCCCGATCGGGATTTTCCAAGCAGCGTTTCCCTCCAACTTGGCCGTTTCATACGTGATGATAGCACATATAAACGAGCCAAAAATGTGGGCAAAGACGTATACCACCACTGTCGCCCCGCGAACCACAGTAGGACAGATCTCACCGAGGAACATGGGCACAAGCCAGTCCTCCCAGCCAATGAAACATTGTACTATCATCCGTCCGGCCAGGATCTGACCGAAAGTCGTCGCGCTGTAACTGACAGAGATACCGATGATGCACATCAGCTGCATGCCTATAAAGCAGGTTCGACGTCCATAGTATTCTCCAATCGCCCATCCGATGAATGTGCCAGCTGCTTTTGCAGGCAGGCCAAGAGAATTGAGGAAGGCCAAATGCTGTGTGCTGAATCCATACTCCCCGGTGGAGCTATCGTAGGTGCCGAATTGCTTTTCGAAAGCTTGGAGAAGTCAACAGAGAACTTGTGTGTAAAGAAGATGGGTGGATCGCAATTCTTACAGTCCATTGTCTGAATAGTCGAGTACACAGCGTCATCAAAGCCATAGCTAAAAACACTGGTGGCAATGATAGCGTATGCTATCAACATATTCCAGGTGAAAGCATGACGCATATTCTGTAAGTTCCTCAAGCTTGCCATGTTTCTTATCCAAAGTACACAAACTTATGAGAGATCGAGTGTATCTCTACAAAACCAAAGGTGTCTTCGGCTCAGATGAGCTACAGAAGGATCATAGTCCGTTCCAGATACACATAACCCAGCCATCTCGCGCTCTCGGACTTTCTTTATAGTAATTCTTGAGGTATCGCGACATTCTGGGGCGATGTTGCCATATCGCTCTAGAGGCGTCTTGAGGAGAGTGGCGCTCTCTGTCCTGTTCGATGAATCCTGCGCTAAATGACCGACAGCCGTAGCCTGACCGAGTACCGGACGCTAAAAACATTATCCATCACGCAGTGGAGAGATTGGTAGGAAATCAATGGAGGTGGATGAAGCCATCGTGCGGAGTGATGATACCATCGCTAATTGTCCCGTCCAAGCGTTAGCGGCTGAGCTAACAATCATGTTGTTTTGAAACCACCCAATAATATCACCTGTCTCCGTCAACATATCGTCAAAGTAGCGGAGAATCGAACAATATGTGCGTATATCTATCAGATAACTATAAAGCTATCAAGCACCTCATGGAGATCATGTGTATCGTTGCATCAAGCCCCAGAAATCCCATCCTCACCACACCACCACCACCATGACCGCACCCAAACGCCCAAACTTCCTCGTCATCGTCGCCGATGACCTTGGTTTCAGCGACACCTCTCCCTTTGGGGGAGAAATCGACACGCCCAATCTGCACCGTCTTGCAATGGAAGGCATCCGCATGACAGACTTCCACACTGCGGCTTCCTGCTCACCCACCCGGGCGATGCTCCTCTCAGGCACAGATGCGCACATCGCAGGACTGGGCGTCATGGCAGAGAGAAGAAACCGATTCCCACACATCTTCGACGGCAAATCCGGATACGAAGGCTACCTGAATTACAAAGTCGCAGCCCTGCCCGAAATCCTACAAGACAACGGCTACTTCACCTGCATGTCCGGGAAATGGTACACCAACCCTGCCCTACTCTACCTCATCCCCTCAAGCATCTCATCACATCACTAACCTCACAACCAACACAGGCACCTAGGCCTAACCAAAGACGTAGCCCCCTGCTCCCGCGGGTTCACCAAAAACTTCACCCTCCTCCCCGGCGCAGGCAACCACTACAACCACGAGCCCCAACTCTACGACACGACCGAAAAGCCCCGAGTCATCATCAAGGGCGACAAACAAAACCTCTGGATGCGCGACGACCAATTCCTAAACGGCGACACCGACCTCCCGAGCGACTTCTACTCCTCCAACACATTCACCTCCAACCTCCTCTCCATCCTCCAGAACCGCACCCCCGAACAAACCTCCCAACCCTTCTTCGCCTACCTCCCCTTCACAGCCCCCCACTGGCCCCTCCAAGCACCCCGGGAAACCATCAAAAAATACCACGGCCAATACGACGACGGGCCCCTCGCCCTGCGCACCCGCCGTCTCCACAGCCTAATCAAGAACGGCCTCGTGCCCGCAGATGTCGACCCCGCGCCCATCATCACCCTCAACACAACCCCATGGGACGACCTCCCCCCGGACGAAAAAGCAAAGTCCTCCCGCGCCATGGAAATCTACGCCGCAATGGTCGATCTCATGGACGTGAACATCGGCCGCGTGCGAGATTACCTCCAATCCATAGACGAATGGGACAATACCTTCGTAGTATTCATGTCCGATAACGGCGCAGAGGGGCAGCTCCTCGAAGCTATCCCCGTCCTAGCGGGCGCTACTTTGGGAGATGTCATTGACAAGTACTACGACAACTCGCTCGAGAACCTGGGGAACCATAACTCCTTCATCTGGTACGGTCCCCAATGGGCCTCGGCGGCTACTGCACCCTGTCGAGCCCTGAAATCCTACACCACGGAGGGTGGGATTAGATGTCCGTGTATCGTTCGCTATCCACCCCTAACAAACACTGGTATGAACCCAGGTACTATCACCAACACCTTCACCACAGTCATGGACATTCTCCCTACGGTGCTCGATCTAGCCGGGGTAGCCCACCCGGGGACGACATTCCGCGGGAGGGAAGTAGCCCCCGTGCGCGGACATTCCTGGCGGCCGTTGTTAGAATCCAAGGGTGGTGTGGATATCTATCATGAGGATGTGGTGGGGTGGGAACAGCTCGGGATTGCGGCTGTCAGGGTGGGGAAGTGGAAAGCGCTGTATTTGCCGCCGCCGAGGGGAGAGGGGAAGTGGGAGTTGTATGATCTCGAGAGGGATTTGGGGGAGGTGGATGATCTTGCGGAGAAGATGCCGGAGAAGTTGGCGGAGATGGTGGCGCATTATGAGACGTATTTTCAGGAGTCTGGGATGTTTGATTCGTATTCGGTGTTTCAGGAGGAGTTGAAGAGGAAGGGGGTGGGGAGGGCTTGGTAGATTAGATTAGATTTAGATTTTTGGGGAATAGTGTTTGATGATGGTGAGTCTGATTTTTCGTTGGATTGTTTGGTTTAGATTATTTGAGAAGGTCTTCTAGGTCTCTAGGGTGATTTATTTTTTTTTTATTGATGGATTGTCTGGTTATGTCTATTCTTCACTGGTATTATGTTTGTACGTGGTTTATCTGTACAGGAGGGATATCATACAATTTAAACACCATCTTATCCCGTCTAGGCATACATGCATCCGCTGTGGTGAACTCCAACCAGAAAATATGACAAAATGGAGAAATAAAGTGATACAAGGAAATTGCGAGAGACGTAGACCAGCCAGCCTTTTCATGTACGTTTGCTCTGGCTTGTCTACCGTCCCTCGTAAGACTCATTGCTGGTGGATACAGCACGTCTTCCCCATCCACTAAACAGCCCGCCGCCATTCGATGCTGGCTCTGTAGGTGCCTTCGCAATGGATGGTGGCCTGCCCAGGAATGAATGTCGTCCTTCGGGGATGATTCCATTCCGGGCCATGACCTTCCGCATCGAGTCCAGTTTGCCTTTGACTTCTTCGAGTTCCTGACGTGCGACTGCTTCTGCCGTTTTTGCATTGACTAGTTCAAGCAGCAGGGATTCCTCCGCTGCCGGTTTGTTGTTCTCGGTTGCAAGGACGGATTGCAGTCCCAGGCTGCTGGATCGTTTGGTAAATGTCGTCGAATTTGTAGTACTCTTTTGGCTCTTTTGTGAGTTGGTGCGGACGAGTTTCAGTTCTCGGAGACCGGTGCTGGTGTAGCCTTCGCTGGTGTCGCTGGTTGGGGAGCCGTAGGTTTCGGACGGCGCAGTGTCAGAATTCCGGGTCTTGGTTTTGACCGTGCGTAGCTCGCGGACCATCCGCTCTAGCCGCTGGCGCTCACGGTAGCTGTCTTGAATACGGCCTCGCGCTTCACGGAGTTGTTCTCGAAGGGATGCGTTTTCTTTCTCGTGCTCATCAATCCGGCGCGTCAAGCTCTTGCATCGGTTTGATTCTAGTTCATGCATCTCCTTGTACCGGTTGAGGTCGTCACGCAGTTGGTGCTTGGTTTGGTCCGTTGAGACGACCCTGTGCGTTTCGACCATGGCGAATCTCGCGTCGGCTTTGTGAACTAAATCCATCGGTGGCTCTTCGGATGTCTCTTTGATGTATTGCAGCATTGACTTGGCAAGGACTTGGTCTTCCTCGCGCTCCTCCCGTTCTTGCTGCAGTTCTCGCGTGAGGTCGGCGTGTTGGCGTTGAAGGTCGCTGAGGGCCATGAGGAGGTCCTCGATTTGCGTGTGGAGGTCGCGATCCTTGTGCTGGGATATAGCTGATTTTGCACGTGGCTTTTGTACGTCTGTCGACAATTCCGTCGGCGCGGTGCTGGCGTCCGAGGCTGACTCTACAGAATTGAGGGTTGATGTCATGCTCTGTTTGGATGTTGACCGTCGGATGCTGGCCAGGTTGGACGCACTTGCACTGTTGGGATTGAGACTGATGGACTTGACGGAATTGTGTGAGTTAGATCCAGCCCAGAGTCGCCCGAGGAATCGAGAAGCTGCTGCCTGCATCTGGGGGAACGAGATGCCGGTTGGAACTCCCTGCGATTGGTTATAGCTAGCTTCCAGAGCCTGGAGGCTTTCCTTTGTGACAAGCGACGTGAGAGACACAAAGTCGTTCACGAAGTCATCCGCATGGCAGGCATACCTATAGGGATTAGATCAATTCGTAATTGGCTTGGCTGATAACTTACGTGTCCCACAGACTCCTCGAAAGCAACAGTTGCATGACATCTTCGAATTCTGCGCATGCCATGATCTTCTTCTCATTCCGCGTCATCAGAGAGAGAGCAACCCGCATCAATGTCTCGCAGGCACCCTCCAGGAAGATAACGTCGTAGATTCGGAGAAGCATGGGCAGCGGGCACGCGACTGCGAAGAAGGACAAGAACCATTGCGATACGTAGACCGGTTCAACATGCAGCATCTCAAGGTGTGCGAACAAGCCAGGTCGCAGGCGAGCTAACAAATTCTGGAATTGGTAGACGCGCAGATGAAGGCCGGAGAGATCAGGAAGGTAGCAGGTCCGCAAGTCGTAATGGTCCATCAGCCTGAGGTGCCGGTTAGCTCCCAAGTGTACGCTGCATCTTGCTTATATACATACCTAACGAGTACGCAGAATGCCTCTGCATCCGTCATGTGCATCAGCAAGGGACCAACGACAAAGCCCAATCCCTGGCAGTAGCCGATCTTCGTGTCGTACAGACTGAAGCATTTCAGCACCCGTGCGAGCATCTGCTGCCCCTCCCCGTTAGGATCCCGGAACATCTCCACATTGGGAAAGCTACGGCCAATATCTTTGCCGATGAGCCCTTCGTAGGGACTCGTCTCGCCACACAATCGCTGGTATTCCGCCAACAATGTGTTATCCCGGGCGCCCGCCAAGCTGGGCCACACCACACCACGCAGTGGTGGCGGAACACCGCTTCGGATCTTGTTCGAGGTCAATGTAGGTAGTCTCTGAGCTGTTTGGGGATAATCTGCGACTAGCGCTGCCCAGAATTCGAGTTCGGTCATTGGCGGTGGAGGCAGTTGGGAGTATC